ACCTCCTGATCGCATCTTGTTTGATTTATTTGTCAAACGTGTCGTTCTGATTCACAAGATAGTAGGTGGGCGGGATGTCTTCGCGCCAGAGACCATTCTCACTGGCAGATCCTTTGCGCCCACCTTATGATGTATGAGACATTTTCCCGCGTCCAAGACGAGCGCGCTCGTCCCCCTTCATCTCGCGCCAGACCATGGTAGGCGGCGAGATAGCACCCGTGAGATGTCATTCACCTGGCAATCGAGGAGTCGCGATGCTCTATGAAGTCCTAATCCCATCGACTGACCCGAACGGTTACGATGAGACCATAACGGTTGACGCTGGCAACTGGATGTCGGCGCTCAAATCAGGGCTGGCCAGGACTGGAGAACCCGACGCGGACATCCGCGGCGTCATGTGTGATATCAAGGATGATAACTCCATCCATGTCACAGATGCGTTGACCCGTCGTATCTTCATCCTGCGCGAGATCGACCCTGAGGTCGATGAAGAAGCCGAGCGCTTGCGCGAGGAAGCCAAGGCCGCCGCAGAACGCGAAGCACGCGAAGCCGCCGAGCGCGAGGCGAACGAAGCCAAGGCCGCCGCCGCAATCGCCGAAGAAGACAGCGCGCCTCCAGAAGCTGCCACGGTTCGCCTCGACGCGGTCAAATCCGAGCCAGAGCCCTCATCGACACCTCCTGTGGTACAGGCAACCTCCACACCCACGGAACCCGAGCAACCGTCGGTCGTCGTCGAGCTCGATCAGGTCAAGGAGGAAGCGCCACAGGCCGATCCTGCACCTGCCGTGGCGGCCGCATCGAGCGCGGTGTCTGGCTCCTCGAGCGTCGAGGACGCGCCCGGACCCGACATGGTCCAGACTCCATCAGGTTCCTGGACGAGCGCCGATGGACGGATGCGCGTGGGTTCGGCGACGCACGAATCTCTCAAGGACGACACGGGCGAGGCGCGCGTGCTCCGCGAGACGCGCTCGCGCACTTCCGAGCGCCCCGCCATCGAGATCGAGCGGCGCGAGGACTCCGTCACCGAGAACATCCTCGAAGACATCTTCCTCGAGATCCAGGCCATCCACGAACAGGACATGGCCATGGAAGACGCCGTCAACTTCATCATCGACATGGCCATGGACAAGGTCCCCGCCGAGTCGGGCGCGATCCTCTTCGCCGATGTCAACGGGCGCGAGCTCTACTTCGCGACCGCGCGTGGCCCCAAGGCGAACGATATCATGGAGTTCCGCGTCCCCATGGGCGTTGGCATCTCCGGCTTCTGCGCCAAGGAGGGTGTCAGCCTCGCCATCAGCGACGCGCAAAACGACCCCCGCTTCTACAGAAAGATCTCCGAGGCGCTCGGCTACACCACACACTCCGTGGCTTGCGCCCCTATCCAGCACGAAGGCCGCGTCTACGGTTGCGTCGAGCTCATGAACCGCACGGGCGGCTCGACCTTCTCGTCCAACGAGGTCAACGCGCTGACCTACATCGGCAAGCAGTTCGCCGAGTACATCAACCGCCTCATCATGGCGCGCGAGAAGCTCTGAACGCTTCCAACAACAGCACACGACAAACACAGCGAGGGGCGAGCGGGCCTGAATGAGAATCATTCAAACCCGCTCGCCCCTCGCTGTCTCTGTGGCACGGCCCATCATCCCTGCCACAGAAAGACGCTCATCATCGCTCGAGATCTCCCATGATCCCGAGGTGATGCTCGTAGAACATGCTCTGACGTGCTCCATCCAAAGCATCGCTCATCGCAAGAAATTCTCCCAGGGAAGAACTCCCGAATGCGACCAGCGCTTCTTCCCGGTTCAGCCTGGGAGTTTCTCTCGAGCGTGGAGATGACATCTGCAGACACACCTAACGGCAGCCGCCTGGAGCAAGACGCTCGAGAGCGTTCGAGGCATAAGAAACAAAAAACGAGGATGAGTTTTTATACAAAACTCATCCTCGCCCTCTCGCGCAACGTGACTTCTTTCAAAGCCCTTTGACTCAGAAGAAGTAAGAAGAGCTCGCGTCGAGCAAGCCGATCCACTTCGCGAGCAACGTCAGCCCGGAAGCGATCATCAACTGCATGAGCGCCACGACCACGCTGCGCATCAACGTGAGCTTGTAGGTCGACATCATGATCGCGCACCACGCCACCAGGTACACGAGCCAGCCAAACCAGGGGATAAAGCCCGTGATCAAACCGACGAATGCGATGCCGCCAGCGACCGTCAAGGCCGTCGTGTACTGGTTCTCCACGCCGTAGGGCTTGACCACTTCCACCGCCATCTTCAGCGCGAGCGCCTGCAGCAAGAACTTCACCACGGCGTAAAAGAAGAAGAGTGCGATCCCTGTAATAACTGTCATCTTTGCTCCTTGCTCGATCTTCTCTCGGTTTCCTGCTGGAGCAATGCTCCAGGTGACTGCGGTTCCCTACCCACAGTCATACATCTTCCCAGTCACCGATCTCAACGTGAGGTTCCTCGAAAAGATTCACGCCATCGCCAGAAAAACAAACAAAAGGCGCGCTGGACCTCTTTTTAAAAGGAGGTCCAGCGCGCCTTTTGTCGTTTACGAGAGGGTGTTCTAAAAGCTCACCCTCTGCGTACCTCGTGATTCAGAATCACTCGGCAGCGCCAGCACCAGTGACGGTGCACTGCTTGATGCCGCCGTCGGTGTTGGGGTGGATGTCGGTGCCATCGACGAGGCAGCCAGCGATGGTCGCTGCGGTGCCTTCTGCGGTCGCAGGGCAAAGCTTGACCTCGTACTTGTCGGTCGAACCAGTGGGGCTTCCGCCCATGTTCTGGTTACAGATCGGCGCGTACTCGCCAACGTTGATGACGTAGTCATCGTAGATCGGCGCGTCGAAGCCGACGAGCAAGCTACCACCACAGCCGAGCGAGACGACGGTCATCGCGTTGAAGCGATCTGCTGCGTCGGGGCAGCCGTCATCCTCGGAGCCGTCCGCGATGAGCGATGGCGCCATGCCGTCGATGATCGAGGAGTCGGTGTAGTCGTTGTTAGGATCGTCAGCCTGCTCGTACTCTGCGGTCGAACCCCATGCCAACGTCTGGCCGTTCGCATCGCGAAGCTCGACGTACATGATGTCACTGCCTGGATCGTACTCGCCGTCTGCGTTCGTGTCCTCGCAGCCTTCCGTCGAGATGTCGCTGATCAACACGTAGCGGAACGTGTCCTCAGGGGTGTCCTCGACACAGACGCCGTCCTCACATGCTGCCGTCATGCCCTCTCCGAGGCCAAGCTGGGAAGCACAGAATGCAGCTGGGTCGGCCTCAGCCGAGCAGTCTGCTGCTGCGCCACAGCCGTCTGCGTTACAGACTTCGTCTGCACCACAAGCGACGTCCTTGTTCTCGTCCACGAGGTCGTTACAGTCTGCGGCTGCGCCACAGGTGTTGCCCGACTCGCCAGCGATACAGAACTGACCCTCGGCGCAGTCCGCCGAGGTCGTGCAGGACGTGTCGCCAGCTTCGCAGGTGCTGGAAGCGGTGTTACAAACTTCACCGGCATCGCAGTCATCGTCGAAGGTACACGTGTTAGGGTCCGTACAGCCACTGCCGAGAGCGATCGCGCCGAACACACCAGCAACCATCGCCATGGACAACAAACTCTTGAAGCTCTCTCTCATCGATTCTCACCCTGAAGGTTGGACCAGCGAACACTTGAACGCGCTGGTCACGTGGAAAAAGAAATGAAATCCCAGTCGAAAGTATCAAACTTGTCTATCGACGTAGCATTTTTCTGTGCAAGAAGAAAGCCAGCGTTGTTTGACAGGAGATACCCGACATCAAAAATGTTGGCCGAGAATGTAGTATTTCCCGCGGCGGTTGTCCATTTGGCTCTGTGCTCAAATGCGCTAACCTCGAAAAACGTGCCCTTGTTTACTGCTGACTTCTCCGCCACGCACGAGCATCCATGATGTCTCGACATCCCGAGCCCCGCTTCGATCACCTGCTCGATGTCCTCGCCGCGCGACGAGAACAGACGCGGCGGGGGATCTACACGATCGATGCACGCGGCGCGCGCGAGCACATCTCTTACGCCACCTTGCTCGAAGAGGCGCAGCGAGTGAGCGCTGCGCTCGCGCGCGTCGGCCTCGGGAGAGGCGATCGCATCGTGTTGATGATGCCCACAGGACAGGGCTTTCTAAAGACGTTCTTTGGCGCGATCCTACTCGGCGCCGCGCTTATCCCGATCACCCCGCCCAGGGAGGATCACCCGAACCCGGTGGGGAGCCTTCGCATCCTCTCGAAGTTCGCCAAACGCGTCGGCGCCAGAGCGATCCTCTACGACGATAACCTCCCTCTGGAGCACCGACCATCGAGCGGCCCCGCCAGCACCTACGAGATCGCGCTCTCGTTCACCGAGCTGCTCGCTGACGTCCCCCTCGATGCATCACACGCCCCCAAAGGGCGCCCTCCCGAGCTCGCCTACATCCAACCGACCGCGGGATCGACAGGTCCAGTGCGCGCCGTGGCGCTCACGCACAAGAACATCCTCTCGAGCGTCCGCGCTGTCGGCGACGCGATGCAGATCACACAGAATGATATCGGCGTCAGCTGGTTGCCGCTCGACAACATCATGAGCCTCGTGGGTTTTGTCTGCTTCTCACTCTACTGGGATCTGGATGTCGTGATCATCGATCCTCGCCGCTTCCTCGAGAAGCCACACGAGTGGTTATGGGCCATACATCAGCACCGCGCGACGATCACCTCGGCGCCAAACTTCGCCTATTATCACTGCCTGCGGCGCGCGCGTGAGCGCGAGCTCGATGGGCTCGACCTCTCCTCCTTGCGGATCGCGATGAGCGGCGGGCAGCAGGTGCGCGCTCGCCATATCAAGAGCTTCGTTCAACGCTTTCAACACCACGGCCTCGACCCTGATGTCTTCCTCCCCGTCTACGGGCTCACCGAAGGCACGCTCGCGGTCACGGTGTCCTCGCTCGAGAGCCGCCTCTCGGTCGATGTGATCGATCGTCGCGCGCTCGAATACGAAGGGAGAGCCGTCCCCATCGATCCTGCTGACGTGGCTCCATACCGACGCATGCACCTGGTCTCGGTGGGCCGCGCGTTGGAAGGGATCGAGCTTCAGATCCTGGGGAGTGGCGGCGAGGAGCGCGTGTTGGGAGAGATCGCCTTCAGGGGGGAGAACATCGCCAGCGGTTATATCGACGTCGAGCCTGACGCGTTGGAGCGCGGCCTGTCATTGACCGAGGATGGTTGGCTCGCGACCGGAGATCTTGGCTACCTGGCAAATGGAAAGCTCTTTGTCATCGATCGCGATGAGGACAGCCCGATCCTCGACACCCCCGATGGACCTCGCAGGATCTTCCCCTCCGAGGCCGAGCTCCTGATCGATGCCGTCGATGGAGTGCGCGCCGGGGCATCCGTGCTTCTGGCCACACGAGACGAAGCACACACGGAGCAAGAGCTCGTGGTCGCCTACGAGGTGCAGATCGGCGCGGACAAGGACGCGATCCAGGAACAGGTCACGCGCTTGCTCCTCGAGAGGCTCGATATCACACCTGCTCGCATTCTCTCGCTCTCTCCGTTCTCCACGCCAAAGACGCGCGATGGCAAGGTTCGCCGCGCGATGGCTCGAAGGTTCCTTATCGAAGAGCGCCTCGAACGAGGCGAACGCACCCACGAACTCGAAGGCGTGGTGAGGCTCTTGAACCGAGCGCGCTCGGATGTCCTGAGGTTGAGCGAAGGGGTAAGACGGAGGCTATCGAGGTTGCTCGAGCGTGGGTCTTGAGAAGAAGTGACAAGAAAACAAAGAGAGCGCGGTGATTTCTCACCGCGCTCTCTTTGTTTCGCGTCACGCCATGGCACGAAAGTCATGCCCTGGAGTAAAGCCTATCCAACCGAAATCACTCGGCAGCGCCAGCACCAGTGACGGTGCACTGCTTGATGCCGCCGTCGGTGTTGGGGTGGATGTCGGTGCCGTCGACGAGGCAGCCAGCGATGGTCGCTGCGGTGCCTTCTTCGGTCGCGGGGCAGAGCTTGACCTCGTACTTGTCGGTCGAACCAGTGGGGCTTCCGCCCGTGTTCTGGTTACAGATCGGCGCGTACTCGCCAACGTTGATGACGTAGTCATCGTAGATCGGCGCGTCGAAGCCGACGAGCAAGCTACCACCACAGCCGAGCGAGACGACGGTCATCGCGTTGAAGCGATCTGCTGCGTCGGGGCAGCCGTCATCCTCGGAGCCGTCCGCGATGAGCGATGGCGCCATGCCGTCGATGATCGAGGAGTCGTTGTAGTCGTTGTTAGGATCGTCAGCTTGCTCGTACTCTTCAGTCGAGCCCCATGCCAACGTCTGGCCGTTCGCATCGCGAAGCTCGACGTACATGATGTCGCTGCCTGGATCGTACTCGCCGTCTGCGTTCGTGTCCTCGCAGCCTTCCGTCGAGATGTCGCTGATCAGCACGTAGCGGTACGACGTCATCGCCGAGTCCTGGACGCAGACGCCCTCGACGCAGCTCGCCGACTCGCCCTCTCCGAGGCCAAGCTCGGAGGCGCAGAATGCAGCTGGGTCGGCCTCAGCCGAGCAGTCTGCTGCTGCTGCACAACCGTCTGCCGTACAGACTTCGTCTGCACCACATGCGGCGTTCTTGTCGTCGACAACCTCGTTACAGTCTGCGGGGACGCCGCAAACGCTCGTGTTGATCGCGTTGTCAGGCGACGGGATGCAGAACTCACCTTCGGTGTACACTCGGACGAAGCCGTACAGCTCGCCTGACCGTCGATACAGGTGTTGGTGTCTGCGTCACAGATTTGGCCAACGGCGCAATCGTCGTTGAACGTACATGGGCCGCCCTCGGTTGGGCCACAAGCTGCTGCGAACATTGCCGCGCCAGCGAAACCAGCGAGCATTGCCGTCGACCAGAGATGCTTCAAATTACCCTTCATAATATTCCTCTTGGGGTTGAGTCAGGATGATGGGTCACACAACCACTTTGCTTAATGATGCGCCACGGTCCTGTCGTGCCTCTTTCGGCACCCGTGACACCCGATACGGTTCACTGCATGATCCTTGCCAACATGTCAAACACTGTGTCCGGATCACTGTTTTTCCCCCATCACTGTAGAAAAACACCGAGCCGCATCGGACAATGCTTTGGCGTGGTCGCACGGATTGTACGTCTTGACAGCAAATTGTGAAGCGATTCTTTCAAGAAAACGCCCACGATCGCCAGATTATTGACGCCTGTCAGGCACCTGGAGCACTGATGGCTCGATGCTCTTCAAGATAGCCAAAGAAATGATCGAGGAGGCTGAACTTTTTCGATAGCCCCTGGCGAATTTCATGACAAAACACTTCCCGCTCTGGCAGAAAAGTCATGGGGTGGTCAACACACACTCCGCTGGCGAAGCGTCCATATCACATGTCGCCTCTCCCCCTTCAGACACGTCGAGCATTTGCATGCAATACGCATCGGGGGCATCGACAACCTGCGAGCAATCCTCGGGCAGCTTACAGGCACTCCCCAGGCGCTCATCGCGCACACACCAGAGACCTTCGGCGCACTCATCGCTGCTCGCGCAGGAGACCATCGGACAACATGAACCACTGTCGAGGTAGCAATACTCCCCCACCGGGCAGTCATCATCGAAGGTGCAGCCTGATGAGTTTGTCTGGCTGTTTGCCGGACAAAAATCTCCCCCTTCCGAGTGGGTCGGCACGAACACACCACAACCCGCCAACGCCATGACAGAAATCAACAACATCCCACCAGATAAACACTTCACGCCGACTCCTCTTGTAATCACACCATCAAAAATCTGTATCTGACATCTGCAACAGCCATACCTACAGCGAGCGCTAAACCGTGGTGCATGAAGATGCATCATTTGTTCAGGTAAGAATAGACGAGGCGCGTTTCCTCTCGCGAGAAACGCGCCTCGTCTGTTTCTTATGAGTCATCGGGGGTTTGGTGTTTTAAGACCCGACCCCGACCTCACGCATCAGGGAAGCGTCGTGACTTCGAACTGACCGAGGCCCTTGGTCTCTCCAGATGAGATGTAGAAATCACAGCTCGCGTCGCTGCCGTTGAGCGCGCTCTGCGAATCGGTGCAGAGGAGCACCTCGTACTCGTCGGCGCCTTCGGAGTCATTGCTCATGCTCTGCGCGCAGAACCCGCCGTACTCGTAGACCTCGATGATGCTGCCCTGCGAGATATCGAGTGGCACGCCTTGCGAGTCGGAGAACTTGATCGTGATCCAACCGCCGCATCCCATCGAGTACACCCCCGACTCGTTGAACGACTCGTTGGGGCACTGCCCGCTGGCGAGGCTTTGTGGGTTACCATCGAGGCGACCCGGGCTGATGAAGTCATTGTTGTCACCTTCACCGAGGTTCTGGTTCACGACCTCGCCCCACCCCAACGTCTGACCGTTGGCGTCCGAGAGCACCACAGCGATGAGGTCGGAGCCAGGATCGCTCGTGTTCGGCGAGCAGGCGGCTTCGCCCTCGGAGGTGTCCTGGATCATGATGACCTTGTACATGCTCTGAGCGTCTGGGTAGTCACAGGCGCCATCGACACAGACGCCATCCGCACCCGCGGTGCACTCCTCGTTGGTCGTGCAGCCAGCGTTGAAGTTGTTCGTGGTGGTGTTGTTGGTCGTGCTGTTGTTGACCGTCCCACCCGCGTCACACAGGCCGCCGGGGGAGTTGTTCAGGCGCGCCACGCAGACGGAGCCCACGGGGCAATCTGCGTCAGTGTTGCAGCCCGCCTCACACTCGTTGAACTCGTTACAGACAAAGCCTGCCGAGCACTCGTCATCGAAAGTACATGCCTCGCCGCCTTGGGTGCCGGTGCCCCCACAGGCGAGGATGCTGATGCCGGTGGCGACCGCCATAACAGAACCGAGGTATTTAAGCGCTGTACGCATGTTTGCTCCTTGGAATCAAGTCGGCTTCGCCGTGGCATCTCCTCCACCAAGTTCAAAGCCAGTTATCGTGTCTTCATCTCGCGGTGTGCCAAATCAACCACAACCGCCATCATCTTACCAGCGTCGCGAGTGTGATTCACTCCGACAAATCGAGCGTCAACGAGGTCTTGTCCACGGCCGAACCTGCCAGGACTTCCTCGCATTGCGTCTCGGTCATGATCATATCTCCTGATCTTGAGACGCAGAGCCTGACCTCGTATTCATCAGAAACTTCATCCGCGCCGCAGTTGGCCCCTCGCTCGACGACGTTGATCTTCCAACCATCCGCGAGCGTCAGGCGCGCGCCGCCATCATCGATGAAGTAGACGCGCAAGGACCCATCCTGACCGCCGAGCGTGACGCCTCTGGCCTCGAGCGGCGTCGCCACGCACTGCAACGCTTCATCCATCGCGAGGCTCGACCCGTCAAAGCTCTGGGTCGTCTCTGGCGAGGGCGTTTGTGCAGGCTCGTATTCGAGGCTCACCGCCCAGCCCTGGATGGTGCCAGCGGCGTCCTCGACGTAGATCGCCATGATCTCGGCGCCCTCTCCTTGTTGCTCCTGTTGATTTGTCCCCAGGTCACGCACCAGGACGCCGTAATCAGGCGCGGGCATGATGCAGGTGTTGATCAGGCTGCAACGCGCAAACTCGCTGCCGAGCTGCACGACGCACTCCTGATCCGTGGTGCAGTCGAGGTCATTGTTGGCGTTGTTATCTTCGAAATCGGGCGGCGCGCAGACATTGACCGCCTCTGACTCTTCTGGCCTGGTGAGCGGCCGACAGGCGATGTCGCCGTCGGGGTTGTCCTGGGCGAGCACCTCGCAGTCCTCGTCCATCGAGCAGACCTGACGACAGGTGCCCACGGCGCATGCTTCGTTGACGCCGCAATCAGCGTCGAACGCGCACTCGCTAAAGCTCACTCCGCACCCACCAGAGAGCATGGCCACAAAAACAGCGAGCGCGCACATCCACGTCCGCTGTCCAATATGACTTCGATGCTTCCCGCCAATCATCTCGTCGCCTCGATCAACCATTCAAGATGTTCGTTTACTAACCTCACACGGCCATCCTTGCAAGGAAAGCGGTGCTCGAAAACGGGGCTCTGACATCCCTGTCACCTCTTTGGAGCAAGCCTACTCCAAAAAATGGAGTGCACATTGACCACCTTTGACCTCGACTCACTTTCTGGGATGGTCGAGAGGTGCGATCGGGCTCGCCCATCATTGACACATTGCACGATGTGCGCCATGGAGTGTGATGCCCTATATGTGGCAAACCACGACGCCTGCCAGAGGTAAGGATGGAGACCCTGTTTCGCATAAAGACACGTGACCTGCTCGTCGCGGCGCTGCTCTCGATGACCGCCTGCACCTTTGTGATGGCGATCACCCCCGCAGAAGCGCTCGCGCAGGCGGACAACGAGAACGCCGCAAAAAAAGCGTTCGACGAAGCGGAGCGCTCCTTTCGCACCAAGGATTACATCGAGGCGATCCGGCGCTACAACCTGCTGCGCACACGCTTTCCCTACTCCGGGTGGGCGACGCTGGCAGACCTGAGGATCGCGGACGCTTACTTCGAGCAAGAAAAGTACGCCACCGCCATCGAGCAGTATCGCGCCTTCACAAAGCTCCACCCCGAGCACGAGCGCGTCACCTACTCGAACTGGCGCGTCGCGCTCTCCTTCTACAAGCAGATGCCCGAGGACTGGTTCTTCCTGCCGCCCGGTTACGAGCGCGATCTGGACAGAGCCAAGGACGCCGAGCGCGAGCTGCGCTTCTACCTGCGCCGTAACCCGAACTCCGAGTATGACAAGGACGCGACCCGCAAGCTGCTCGAGACGCGCCGCCGCCTTGCAGACCACGAGCTCTACGTGGCCGAGTTCTACATCAAGCGCGACAACCCGCGCGCTGCGGCCCTGCGGCTGACCTACCTGCTCAAGAATTACTCGGGGCTCGGGCTCGACCCCAAGGCGCTCTTCCTGCTAGCGCGCGCGTACATGGAGATGGGCGATGTGAACAAGGCGACCACCGCGCTCGGCGATCTCATCGAGGTTCACCCCGACTCGGACATGGCCGCCAAGGCGCGCGCCTACCTGCGAAGGCACAACCTGAGGCCACCTCAGCAACAGCAGCCCGAGCAACCCTGAGAGCCGCGCGGCAAACGCAAAACAAAAGCGCCTCGCCCAGAACCACTGGGGGGCGCTTTTTTTGCGACGGTCTTCGGGGAGCGACCCGGGCATAAAAAAAGCGCCCCCCAGTGGTTCTGGCCACCGCGGAGCGCATATACGAGACCTCCCCTGGAGTGAGGCTTCAGATGCCGAAGAAGAGGCGCTTGGCGAAATCACTCGAGAGCTCGCTCTGGAAGATCTTTCGCGCGGCTTCGCGGATGTCGTAAGCGCGACGATGGTAGAAGAAGGCCTTCTCCTCGGTGTCGTAGACGCCAAAGCAGGCGCGGTTGTCATTATCGCGAGGTTGCCCGACGCTCCCCACGGTGACGATGTACTTCTTGCCCTCCTTGAAGGTGAGCTTTGGACCGAAGAGCTCCTTGGCGCCCTGTTCCTGATCGAGCTCGAAGGCCTTTGTCAGGTGCGAGTGCCCGATGAACGTGATCCAGCCGAGCTCGTCCCAGGAGTGAATCAACTGGTTTGCCTGGTGCAGGTTGAAGACGTATTCGAAGTCTTCGAGGTTGACCGGCGAGCCGTGGCAGAAGGAGAGATCGAGGTCTTCGAGGTCCTTGCGGTAGGTCAAGGTCCGCAACCAATCGTGGTAGGGCTCCTTGAGCTGGCGCGCGTGCCAGTCGAGCGCGTTGCGCGCGGCGTCGTAATAGAAGGCGTAGTTCATCCGCCCGCAGACCGCCGCGTCGTGGTTGCCGAGGATGGTGAACTCGGCGATATCCTTTACAATGTCGCAACATTCGTTGGGGTTGGCGCCGTAACCGACGACATCCCCGAGACAGAAGTACTGATCGATCGGCTCGTCGAGTTTCTCGTACTCTGCGATGACCGTGGTCAGAGCTTCGATGTTGCTGTGAACGTCACTAAAAATCCCGAAGCGCATCGCTGGCTCTTCTCCATGGAGGGATGCTTCTCACCGACGAACCCATCGCCACGCATGACGCGCGACGTGAAGTTCAATAGAGAAGCATTCTGGCCGTAGGCTGGCCTGATTGCAACGACCGATCGTCACATCCTGTCAACTGCGCGCGGCTTTTGCCGCTTCGCGGATGCGACGATTGCGATCCTTGGCGAGGTTATTGAGCAACTCCTCGTCTCGCTGACCGAGGCGCCTGAGCAACGCGACGACCGCGTCGTCGTGCCCCTTGCTCTTGATCGTGCGCGTGAGCGCGGGCACGAGCTTGTCGCCATAACCAGCGAGCGTCGTGGCGAGAACCTCGAGGTTGCCCTGGCGCTTTGGATCGCGCAGCGCGTCGAGCAAGGTCGGGATGGCGCTCGTGCTCTTGACCTGAACCAGCGCGTGCGAGGCGATATACGTCGCGCTCGGGCCGCCCGACTCGATGCAGCGCACGAGCTCTCCTTCCAGACCATCGGCGCGCGTCTCGAGGAACTTTGCCAGCGAAGCGACCTCGCCAGCCATCATCTCCTCGGAGCCCTCGAGCACCCTCGAGACGACCGGCGCGCCGAAGCGCTCGATCAACATCTGCGCCGCCTCGAGCCTGCCGTTGGCATCCTCGAGCAGGAGCAACAGATCATCCTTGCTCATCGTGCTCATATCATCGAAGGAATCGAGCACATCATCGTCGGGCAAGAAGTAGGTCACGCCCGTGGTCTCGCTGCGACGCGCGACGACGAGGCCATCGTTCTCATCCGAGAGGTTGAACGCGGGGGGACCGGGGAGCTTTGGCATATTGGCAGGCAGTTTCTCATCGCCTTCCCCTCCCTTTGCCTTGGCCTCGGTGGGGATCTGCGTGATCTGCGTGCGCTCGCCGGGGAGCTCCTCTTCCTGCTGCTGGAACTCCTGCGCGCGGCGCAGCGCGGCTTGCGCGAGCTCGACGACGTCCGGGTCAGGTTGCACGCCGGACTCGTCAGCGAACTCGAGCAAGGCGTCCCAGTTCTCCCACTGCTCGATCGGATCGAGGTCATTGGGTTTCAGGCACAAACTCGGCGGGGTTGGCGAAAGCGCAACAGCAGCGGCTTGTTCAGATAAATCCCGCACGAGAGCGCGCCTTCGACCACGCGGCGCTGGATGGCGCGAAAATCAGCCAGCGGGAAGGAGCGATTGCCGATCAGGTAATCGAACACATCACCGCTCGACCAGTATCCGACGATGCCTGCGGCGAGCTTTATCTCGCTCGGCGCGCGCAGGTCTTCGAAGCTGCTCTTGTAGAAGTTGTGTCGCATCGAGCCGAGGCGCTCGTAATCATCCGAGAAGAAGACCTCGGTGGCGGTGCCAAAGACACCCGCGGCGCCGCTGGCGTCTGCCAGGAAGTCATCCGCCTTCTCCTTGATCCAGCGCACGTTCGCCTCGAGGTCAGCCTTGGCGTCGTAGCTTCGGATGAGCTTCCCCTTGCGATCATAGAACGCGAAGCGCACGGCGGACTCGGCCATCAGCGCATCGATCACGGCGCGATCGTTATCGTGGGTGACATCGAGCGGCCAGCCAAAGGACTCGGACAGCTTGTGGCCATCATCGAGGCTCGCGAGCAGGATCGTCGCCAGCGGACACTCCTCGATCACGGCGTACTGGATGAACAGCTTCGGATCATTATCGAGGACGCGGTCGACGGCCTTCTTGCCTGTGCGCCACGCGGCGACGACATAACCGTCGACGACGCGCGTGTAGTAGTCCTGTCCGCTGGCGTACGTCTCGTCGAAGGTAGAGGAGACATGCACCGCGTTCAGGCCAGGGACCTGAGTGATATGCGTCGCGTCATCGGGACCAAATTCATCATCGGGCGTATCCGCGGGGAGCGCGGTCTCGGAGAGCAGACCCGTCGAGGGCGCAGACGTGACGACGTCGTGCTCCTCCAGGATCTCTTTCTCATCGAGGACGAGATCGACGGGATCATCCTCGACGACCTCGATGAACTGATCGTCGGTGACGACCTGAGTCTTCTCTTCTGCGGCGACGATGGCGCCGCCCTGAGCCGCCTCGAGCTCGCGTTGCTCGAGGTTGAGGCGAGTCGCTTCGAGCTGTTGACGCTCGCGCTCGATCTCTTCGCGCTCGAGGATGAGGCGTTGACGATCGCGATCGATCTCCTCGCGCTCGGTGGCGATGTTCATCTCGACTTCTTCCATGCGCTCGCGCTCGCGCTCGAGGCGCTCGCTCACGTCACCGAGCTGCGTCTCCTTCAGGGAGAGCTCCTCGCGCTTCTTCTCGAGATGATCGCGCTCGCGCTTGATATCGGCGCGCTCTTCCTCGAGCGCGGCGGTGTCCACAGCGGGCGGCGCGGGGAGCGGGCTCTTCGAGAGGACGGTGACTTCGTTGGGGCCTGCCTCGTCGGAAGCCTCCTCGCCAGCATCGGCGGCGGGCGCTGTGAGCGCGGCCAGCTGCGATTGCTCGAGCGTGGCGAGCGCCTCGGCGTCGAACACCGTGCGGAAGTTCTTGACGTAGTCGGGCAAGACCTCGCGCTCGCGCGCCATCTCGTTCAGGAGCTCGGAGCGGTGCTTGAACTCCTCGTGACGCAGCGACTCGGGGATCACCAGGACGAACAACCGGAGCTCCTCGTCGTGATAACGCACCGGGATCGCCAGATCGTAGGTGCGCTCGGAGAAGGGGCTCGGGACGCGGTTGAGCTCTCCATCGAAGAGCTTCTCGCGCAATTCGGGATCTTCGGTCACGTTGACCCCGGTATACACACTCGCGGGGAACACTGGCCCCGCGTGGCTACTGATGAGCACTGACGTCTTCGAGGTGCGCCCGAGGCGCCCCTTGTAAACCTGCTCTTCGCTAACCCCTTTTGACTCCATCCCGCGCACCTCTCCCGAGAGGATTTATATCCAAACAAAGCGCCTGACACCGATTTCATTGGCCACGCTTTAAATCGTTCGCTCTAACAGCGTGCACCCCAATAGCACGCGCCCTCCCGTGCGCGCAAGCGCTTGAAAGCAAACCAATCGGGCTCTTTTCACAAAGCACGCGCTCGAGAACAAAACCCGAACCTCCTCGATGGCGGATGACGCAGCGCGTTATCCGAGACCTCCGCGCTATTGATCTCG